AGCTACACATGTGAGTGTCGCTGTGGGTTGTTTTTGGTCGGTCTGTCCGCGCGATGTAAATCGACGAGGGTAGGGCATTGGAAGGCTTCTGAGTTACCTCTTCCCCCCCAGAGCGCTCAACAACATCATCATTATTGTTGTTGTTGTACAGCTCCAGCGCGGTGCGTTAGCAACCGGCGGGCAAAATCTCCCCCCAGAATTTGCAGGTCCAGAGATATCCCCTCGGTTTATGTAAGAGGTGAGAGAGGGGGGAGAGGTGCGTTCCTGACACTTCAATCCCAAAGCGATGTGCAGGGTAGTAGTGGTAGGTGGTGGTCGTGATGTACAGGGTAGTGGTAGGTGGTGGTGATGTACAGGGTAGTGGTGGGTGGTGGTAATGTACAGGGTAGTGGTGGGTGGTGGTAATGTACAGGGTAGTGGTGGGTGGTGGTAATGTACAGGGTAGTGGTGGGTGGTGGTAATGTACAGGGTAGTGGTGGGTGGTGGTAATGTACAGGGTAGTGGTGGGTGGTGGTAATGTACAGGGTAGTGGTGGGTGGTGGTAATGTACAGGGTAGTGGTGGGTGGTGGTAATGTACAGGGTAGTGGTGGGTGGTGGTAATGTACAGGGTAGTGGTGGGTGGTGGTAATGTACAGGGTAGTGGTAGGTGGTGGTAATGTACAGGGTAGTGGTAGGTGGTGGTAATGTACAGGGTAGTGGTAAGTGGTGGTGTACAGGGTAGCGGTAGGTGGTGGTGGTGGTGGTGTACAGGGTAGCGGTAGGTGGTGGTGGTGTACAGGGTAGCGGTAGGTGGTGGTGTGCAGGGTAGTGGTAGGTGGTGGTGGTGGTGTACAGGGTAGTGGTAGGTGGTGGTGGTGTACAGGGTAGTGGTAGGTGGTGGTGGTGGTGTACAGGGTAGTGGTAGGTGGTGGTGATGTACAGGGTAGTGGTAGGTGGTGGTGGTGGTGAAGTCTGAATTGTGAATAAATTAAGTCGGTAAAGTGTTCATGATCGAGGTTTTTTGTTGGGTTAGATCGCGTAAATATATAAATGTCGTTCAACCCGCCACCACCCGACACAGCCAATTAGTAACATTTGTCACTTAAACAAAACATGACAATTCGTGACTAGTACAGGACTAACCGGATGTGTTGGAGAGCCAAGCCACAACATTTACAATTTGAGTACGACGTTTCGCCAGTAATTACAACTAGCTTCATCAGGCGACAAACAGATTTTAAAGCCTACGTGTTAAACTAACTTAAGTCGGGGTTTCTGAGAGGTGATTGATACAAACTATTAACTCAATTTTGTTTTGCCAGGTAAGGCCCACTGAGATGTGCAGAGATTTTTTACAGAAGCGACCCCAGCCATCACAGATGATAGCTCAACGGAGCGGGTTATCATCATCAGCGTGTGGAAATGTATATTTGAGAGAGGCGATATTATGAAAGTGTGGGGGGAACAATAGCCGTGGACGATGGTGGAGGTAGTTCCAACGTGGAGCAGTGCGAGGTAAGAGGCAGGGGTTGTGACCGGCACGCAGTGCGGATGACCAGTGCCGGGTGCGGGGCCTGGAGCATATGTTGTTATAAAGGGGCCCTAAAATACTAAAAATAAATATTAAAACACAATTCGTTTTACTCGCATAGTAAAGTAATTATTTTTTTCATTTGCTATACAGTCAGGTAATACGACAAATCTCTAACCTTAAACACCCAGTCGTTCATAAAAGTCGAAGGCGGTATAGTACTATAGTAATAGAGCACGTGCAGAATCCTTGAAAGTCCGGGGCCCGTAGCTACTACACATGTACTACATGTGTACTACATGTGTAGTACACATGTACTACACATGTAGTAGCTACTACATAGTAGCGACTTGCGACTTGTGCTACGAGGATCATCCTGCATTGCGGATGAGACAGAAGCGGTCAGTCGGTGCTGGGAGGTTGTCGGGCAATTGCTCGCAACCGGTTGCTCGGACCTCCACGTGTTAGCGATTCAGTTGCAACGCAGACAAGTTGCGCAACTGTTCACGCAGGTATGGGACTGCCTTAATCGGTGCATGGATGGTGATGATGATGATGCATGGATGGTGATGGATGGTGATGGATGGATGGTGATGGATGATGATGCATGGATGGTGATGGATGATGGTGATGATGCACGGATGATGCATGGATGATGATGATGCATGGATGATGATGGTGATGATGGATGGTGATGATGGATGGTGATGATGATGCATGGATGGTGATGATGATGCATGGATGGTGATGAATGGATGGTGATGATGATGCATGGATGATAAATGGGTGATGATGATGGATGGTGATGATGGATGGTGATGATGGATGGATGGTGATGATGATGATGCATGGATGGTGATGATGCATGGATGGTGATGATTAATGGATGGTGATGATGATGCATGGATGATGATGGTGCATGGATGGTAATTATGATGCATGGATGGTGATAATGATGGATGATGAATGGATGGTGATTATGATGGATGGTGATGATGCATGGATGGATGATGATTATGCATGGATGGATGATGATTATGCATGGATGGTGATGATGGATGGTGATATTGATGGATGATGATGGATGATGATGATGATGCATGGATGGTGATGATGATGCATGGATGGTGATGATGGATGGTGATGGATGATGATGCATGGATGGTGATTATGATGCATGGATGGTGATTATGATGCATGGATGGTGATTATGATGCATGGATGGTAATGATGATGGATGATACATGGATGGTGATGATGATGCATGGATGGTGATGATGCATGGATGATGATGCATGAATGGTGATGATGCATGGATGTTGATTATGATGCATGGATGGTGATAATGATCGATGATGATGCATGAATGGTGATTAAGATGCATGGATGGTGATGATGGATGGTGATGATGCATGGATGGTGATGACGATACATGGATGATGATGGATGGTGATGGATGATGATTATTATGCATGGATGGTGATAATGATGGATGATGATGCTGCTGCGTCAAGGTCCCTGACCGAGAATTGAACCCGAGGCTCACGCAGTCCGAGCGCTCCCAGCAGAGGGCGGCATTGGACCCACGGTCGATTCACTCACTGACTGATCCGTCGATGAGTTATATTATTTCACCTATATATTCATACATTTATTTAATCATTAATCCATTGATTCAATCATCTACATCGTCGTGTGCGTTTATACAAAATGTATGGATTTAGTTTGTTGATGGCCCCCGCACCTCCAATTGGCCTACGTAGGGTGTGAAAGAAGTTCACCAAACATGCATAAACATACCGTATCCAAGCAGGATTTACACATTCACTCCTATTACTACTCTATCGCTCTCTCGAGGGATGTTGGTGGTCACCACCCCCCCTCCCCGATCCCCGGATCCACGCTCTCACTCAAAAATCTACTTCGGCTTTCGCCCACAGTTGCCGAGTGTTTCACGGAGGGAAGGAAACCATCAGCCCTGCCTTTAAACAAGCAAGCCCGCGTCCGGAGGAAGGGATGCAGAGCGCCTCTCGAGAGAAACGACTTGGAACGCTACTGGGCAGTTGGGAGGCAGTCGCCCTCCAACAACAACGGAGGACAACCATGAGAGTTTATTGTCCTCCCCCCCCCGCACCTACGATAACAGGGTGCAAAAGAAGTTCGACATACAGGGCAGAGGGAAACGACGCTCACAACAACAAGCGGAGTGCCGGGCGGATAAAATACCCTGTAGAACGTTGGCAGAGTGGGGAGCACAGGCGGTGCATCTGCCAGTCGTCTCGGTCAGCCCATGGTACCTGGGGGTCGATCCCGTGACCTCCAGCCAGCGGCGAGCCTTCGACACCAACTTGACGTGGCGTTGGCCGCGTGTGGTTTTGGCCGCACCAAACCCCCTGGTCGTTTGCCGTCGCCGGCTTTCACGGGCGACCCGCTAACGGCACTTGCCCCGGCAGTCTGCTAAGTAAAGTCTACACGCGGGGATCTGTGTACGAACTTCGTGAATCTAATAACACTCCGTACGATCTATGCCCCGCACCTCCGACGATTAGCACGGTTGGCTATGTGCGTTGCGAAAGAAGTTCAACGTGCATAAGATGCCTGGGCAAAGTTTTTAATTTTTGACAACAGGGATGAGGGGGGAGGGGCATCTGAAGAAATGGGTGATCCCGAGCCAACATGACGGCATTATCAATATAACTAAAATGGGATCACACAACACGTAACGGAAAACAATCATCGCCCCCCCCGATTGGCAGACTCCTGCCAAATCGCAGGCCAGTGAGCGAGTCACCTCGTGCCGCACAGGGACAGCTGGCACTGGGGGGGTGGTGGTGGCTCTCACGCGAGAGCAGAGCCGCGCCGTCAACACCCGGCGACGCTGGATGTGTTCATCTCCAGCGAAATCAGGGTACTCGCTTTATGGGACGTCCCCGGAAAGGGATGATGGGCCGAGTCGATAGCCAATGGGGGAAGAATGTGCGACGTTTCGACTGCGAGCGGCTGTAGCTCAGGGGGTCGGCGACCTGCGGCTCTCTTACGTGTCACCCTCGTGACGTAGCGCATGCCCCCCGTGTGTTCACGTGCACTGCGGCTCTTGAAATATCGAGCTCTGTACCGAATCCGAACCAATAAGAAGTGTCTGCTTCTCATATTCTTGGTTCTTTCGGTAAAGTCACGTAGAAGGGAAACAATAAAAATATAAAACAATAAAATTCTCACGACGTTTCGACTGCAACAGAAGCAATCATCATCAGGTGTGAAAACCACAGCAAGAAAATTTTGATTTTTTTTTTACTTTTTTCTTGCTGTGATTTTCACACCGGATGATGATTGCATGTGTTGCAGTCGAAACGTCATGATAATTTTATTGTTTTATATTTTTATTATTTTATTGTTTCCCTTCTACGTGACTTTACCGAAAGAACCAAGAATACGAATCCCTGCAGTCACGAAAGCTTTAAATCAAAATTTGTCTGCTTCTCGTTATTGTTGGTTGCTGATCCCCCTTGGGTTCGCGAGCCGATTGCTCTTTCTCCGAGCACAGCTGGGCCGGCCGCTCGCAGCGGATCGAGGACGCAGGCCGAGCGGCTCAGGCCGCCCACTAGCCGGAGTTCACGGTGGGTTTTTCTGAGCAGAGCGAGCAGCGCGCCATCTTTTGCGTTGGAGACAATGGCCCTGGGAATATATGACGAGGCACTGAAAGCAAATATTGTTAAGAGCCACCGAGAGGGAATGAATACATAATAAATAAAGTCAGGCCACGCACACTTGGGGCAGATTTTCAAGTTGTCTTTGCTCACTAACAAAGGCGGCCTTGGCCTGTGGTCGTCTTTGTAACACAACCATTGAGCTTCATGGGCCTTACCGTCTGAAATAAGTCTGTGTGTAACTCTACGAGTCTCTTTGTAACTCTATGAATCTGTGTCACTGAATCTGTGTTACTCTATGGCTCTCCATGTAGCTCCATGGCTCTCTATGTAGTTTCATGGCTGTCAATGTAACTCTATGGATCTCTATGTAGCTCTGTGGATCTCTGGATCTCGACATAACTATGGTTCTCCATGTAACTCTATGGTTCTCCATGTAACGCTATAGCTCTATATTTAACTATTCAAGTGCAATGTCCTGTAACCGCCGCCATGACCAACACCGTTCGGTTGTGGTCGTCCTTAATAAGCTGTTTAGCTCAATTAGCTTTACCAGCTGAAGTAAAGTCTCAGCCTGTTTGCTTTTATAGCTGTGCGCATTCATTCCCATTTTCCAGCTGGCGATGAAGGCGTTTATGCGTTATCTCTGTCTGTCCATTACGGGGAAGTGGGGGGTGCTGGGGCAGGATGGTAGAGATCACAACTCTCGTAACGATGATCAAATACGAACCGAACTTTAGCTAAAAGTCGTGTTGCTATCTTAACGGAATCTATACAGCGCCTTAACCAAGGCGCTTTACAATGAATTAACATCGGTACAACGTGTGAATGTAATGGGCGAGATGAGGTGAATGAAATAGATGAGTGGAAGCAATGGGAACACCTGTGATGCGTGAATTCAGTGAAAGCGAAATTGATGACAGTAAATGATGATTGATGGATTGGTCTTACACCAGAGAATACTGGCCACGATGAATAATGCAAAGAGTTGTGTTGCTATTATGGACTTACACCAGAGAATACTGGCCACGATGAGTAAAGCTAAGAGTTGTGTTGCTATTACAGACTTACACCAGAGAATACTGGCCACGTTGAGTAAAGCTAAGAGTTGTGTTGCTATTACAGACTTACACCAGAGAATACTGGCCACGTTGAGTAAAGCTAAGAGTTGTGTTGCTATTACGGACTTACACCAGAGAATACTGGCTACGTTGAGTAAAAGGGTTGCCCAAACCCTGGGAGACCCAACCCACAGCAAATTCACGTAAATGTATTTTAAGCCCACAGCTACGCACGACTTCGCTGCTGCTGCTAAACAAAACGCATGCTGAAAACATTGCACAATCCCTGTGTGTATGGTACGTCTGCCTTTCTCTCACCTTTTTTTGTTAGAACAAACCAGGCAGTGTCCAAGCATTAATTGTACAACTCACGGTCAGGGCTGAGTGTGGATGTAAAATTGCACGTGTTACTGTGAGGCAGAAGATGCATGATGTTGAGGTATAGATATTAATTCAGGAGCCAGTAACTGTGTGGTTTAGCCTTACTTGGGGCGAGGCTTAAGGGGCATGACCAGAGCTAAAACCATAGCCCTAACCTAATTGAGATTTAGCCTTGCTATTTGACTGTGTGCGGGTTAGAGTCATGGTCATGGATAGATCCTCAGCCCTAACCTAGTTGGTTTGTTTTTGCTTCCTTGTTGGGCTGGGCTAGGCTTAGAGTTAAAAAGTCAGGGTTAGAACCAGGGGCCCCAGTACATCCACTTTACTAGGGGCCCACATCATGTAAATCAAAATAAATTAAACAATCTTGTCCTGGGGAGGGTCCCGGTAGCCCGGTAGCCCGGTACCCCGGTAGCTCCATTCTCCACCTCTCGTGAGGCCTGGCTAAGAACCACAGCCCTCGCCCAGTTTAACCGTGTGCTGGGCTGGGTTGAGGTTTAATATCTGGGCTACAGCTGAACCCACAGCGCTCACCTGGTTTAGCCTCCCGTTGGGCTGAGTTAGGGGTTGAGTTAATGACCAGGCTCGAACCACTGCCCTGACCAGGTTTAGCCTCACGTTGGGCTGGGTTAGGGCTCTAAGCCGGCACCGCAGTCCCTAACCTTATTAAGTCGTAATGACAAAACGGTGCATGCTGTTAGCCAGGGTTATAAGGACCCTGTGGATAGAGGGGAGGGGAGATCCGGCCCCTCACGGCGTCTATTTGACGACGCGGAAGTCGCTGTACTCTGCCTTCTCCACGGTTCGCTCCGACGAGAATTCGGCGCGGGTGATGCGGCTTTTGGGGCTGCCTTTGGTGTTCAGCCACACCTTCCTGCGGGCAGACAAGCGGAAAGGCAACGAGGAGAGGTCATCGCAAGGGACGGGGGTTCACGGTGCAACTCTACCCACGCTTGCGTTGCGTTCAAAACGTTGTGATCTATTTTAAATTTATTTTTATTTTATTTCTACATACGTGCCTTTGTCGCGGTCTTCGGATGTTGTGCAACGTCCCATGTTAGGACACGCGTACTTGTATGGTCTGTTTTGTCAATCTACTGCTGGACAATGAGGGCCCCCCACGCCGTACGGCAAACGAGGGATATTTGACCATACTTCACCACGCCGGTGAAGTGGGGGTTGGTGAAGTTGGGTGGGAATGCAGGGCACTGTCGGGCCAACGTTGGAATGCGGTTGGAACCGTTAGACCGACATTGACCCAACGCTGGTCCTACTTGCTGTACTGCCAGCATACCCTGGCAAGCCAGGATAGGGCGACCTTGCAGCTCAGCGGATTTTGAGAGTTTCACGAATTAGTGTGCGTGATCCACCAACCCACACCTCCACGGTGTTGGATTACAGGCATTCGCTACCCGCGATACATGGTGAAATTTTTCCTGCTGATACTTTTGCTGTTCCTGCTGCTGCCATCACTGCTGCTGCTGCTGTGGGAGTAGGGCAGCCACCTACAGCTGCTCTGTGCGGTCTGGCGGGCCCTGCGCACGCCCCTCCACCGTGTGCCGCTCAGTGTTGCGCACCCAGCCCACCAGGCCGAGCCGCATCGCCTCCTGCCTCGTGTGCTGCTCCACGGGCACACGGGGGGGGGGGGTACGGCAGGGACACAAGGATATGGGGACATGAGGACATGGGGACATGGGGATGTGGACACAGAAGTATGAGGACATGGGAACACAAGGATGTGAGGATACGGGGGAACATGGGGAGACAGGTACGTGAGGACAGGGAGACATGGGGACACAGAGGTATGAGGACACGGGGGGATGTGGGGACACAGCGACATGGGGACACAGCGACATGGGGACACAGCGACATGAGGACACAGCGACATGAGGACACAGCGACATGGGGACACAGCGACATGGGGACACAGCGACATGGGGACACAGCGACATGAGAACGCAGATACATGGGGACACAGCGACATGGGGACACAGCGACATGGGGACACAGAGACATGGGGACACAGGGACATGGGGACACAGGGACATGGGGACAAGGGGAATATGGGGGGACATAAGGACATCGGAGACCCTACCCTCCTCCTTTCCTCCTTTCCTCCTTCAGGGGTCCTACCCTCCTCCTTCAGGGGTCCTACCATCCTCCTTCAGGGGTCCTACCCACCTCCTAAGGGGTCCTACCCTCCTCCTTCAGGGGTCCTACCGTCCTCCTTCAGGGGTCCTACCCTCCTCCTTCAGGGGTCCTACCGTCCTCCTTCAGGGGTCCTACCCTCCTCCTTCAGGGGTCCTACCCTCCTCCTTCAGGGGTCCTACCCTCCTCCTTCAGGGGTCCTACCCTCCTCCTTCAGGGGTCCTACCCTCCTTCGTCAGGGATTCAGTCCAGTGCCTTGCGCTTGTGCCGGGCAGCACTTGCAGACAGCACTCTGTGTCACCTGGTGACCACACGGCCGTTTAAAGCAGTGTTTGACAGACGGGAATAAACCTGAGTACCCGGACAAAACCCCACAACGTACATTCAAAGGTATGTACAGATGGGATCAATCACCCACTTACAGTACTGCCATCTCGTTGGCCACCTCACACTCGACTGAGTTTGGGCGTTTCACAAATCTGTGTTCCACCAACCCTTTGCCTCAGAGGCATGTGCCGCCGTGCCCGGCAATTATTTTCCTTTGACTCACTCAATGTCATTCAACGTAGACGTTCAAACAAGCAGCAAATGTTTAAATTTCTTGAATAGCTCTTGCCGATTAAAATAAACCAAGGGGGCTAATTGCAAAGAGTGAGTGACGTGAAAATTGCTTACCTTTCTAAAAAAGACACCTGCAAAATAAAGCAGCAGAGGAGACACGGGGTCAGGGTCCGTGAGTAGAGGGTTGGGTTTACGCTGCTCAAACAAAACTGGTTTTAGTAGCTCGGCCAAATGAGAGAGGCCATTGCCAATAATGCCACCACACCCTGGCACCGCTTCCTTCCGACAGATTCCACAGCCTTTGTAAAGTTAACAGCCATGCCCCCAAAGGCCGCTAAAGCAGTCTTGTCACCAATGCCATCCGACATAAGACTTTGTGGCCGTCACACGACATCACAAAAAGTCAGACCCCCCCCCCCCCTCAAATATGACATCATAAAGTTCTGCCCCACCCCCCCCCCCCCCAAAAAAAGTATAAAACATGCTTTTAATTGCTTTAAACTATTGTCATTGCAGTGCGTATTTAATGTGACGCTGCACTCTGTTGTAGGAGAAAACATTTATTAAAAAGTCTAATTAAGTAGAACTTGTTGTCTATATTTAAAGTTGCGCATTTTGATGTGACGTCACATTTCTCAACCCACCCCCCCTCGTCACACATCGTCACAAATGTCTGACCACCCCCCCCCCCCAGAGGGTGTTACCACCCTCTGGGTATCAATGCAATACCCGTCTCGGACACCTTTGAACTATTAACTAACGATAGGTAATGCCCACTGAGCTATGTAGTTCTTCTTCAGAAGCGACCTGGCCACAAATGACAGCTCACCAAAGTGGCTTATCACGTGGAAATGTATAGCAGCCAAATGCTCTAAACACACGTTGATTCTAAATGTGGAGGGAAAAACCGGACGTCTCGGAGAAAAATCCACGTGACCACGGGGAGAGAGGCAATGCACACATTATTAAGAGCATATTTGTTTATATATTCTTAGCTCTTTCGGTAAAGTCACGTTGAATGGAAACAATAAAATAATAAATATATAAAGCAATAAAAATTCTCACGTTTCGACCATAACACAAACGGTCGTCATCAGGTGTGAAAAAACCAACGGCAAGAAACATTTGAAAGAAGTGTCGGTCCGCAGTAGTTTATTTATTTATAAACGGTCTGTTTATTTATTTATTAAAAACCGGCAGCGCCAAGCGCAGCGATTTGGCAGTTTATTTAGAAGGACTAGTCCATCTATGTTCTGAAAAGAGGAAGGGGGAGACGAAAAATTAATGTATGCTGTCTGAAAGCCACCGTAAACGTGAACAATCAATTAAGACCTGAAATGGTTTATCAAATCCTTCCAATGATTGCTAAGCCAGAATCCATGTTTGCATGTGTCGTGGGTCCAAGACGAGGAGAGGCAGTTCTTCAGAGGCAACACGTTTATTTAACACACGGTCCCTAATACAAAAGGGGTAACGGCCCCTTCCACCCGATACCTAGGGAGGTACAGCCTCCGGATATCGTGGCCTCTATTACTGGGATCACTCTCTATCTCAGCCCTCCGTTGAGGCTAGGGGGACCTAGGGGGACCTAGGGGAGGCTATCTGACCCGACCCAGTCAAGGTCCTCGGGTCCTGGCCACTGGCCCACTCGGCCCCGGCCCTTAGAAGGACGTCGGGTCCTGGGGGTTCCCAGGGTCCTACTCTAAGCCGGCTCTTCGGCTTGACGATGACTGCCGAACCCGTTCAAGGGTCCGGCTTTTATACCCACTCCAGGGTCTCTCCGCCCCTAGCCACGCCTCCCTTCTGGAATGTTCTAGGGGGCCCTGGAATATCTCACAACCCCTCTTGGGGTCTGGGAACGCGAGTGGTCCAACGGCCCATCCCGCCTGGGCTGCATACCACCCCCTGCTGACACATGCACGCTACTACAGGTAAGTTCCTTCATACAGCCTGTCAATGCCGCTACACATGTATTGGCACTAGTATGTGTGGTTTATGCAGCCTTTGATGCTTTGTAAAATGTATTTATTTGGTGTTTGAACATCTTAACACCACATGTTTTATTGCAGGAAAAGGTAAAACCTGGTTTAATTTTTCATCGTCGGTTTTTCTTCTTAATCCAAATTATATTGACGTTCCGCTATCGGCATTTCATGCGACAAATTTCTATCCAGAGCTCTGGCAGAAAGCATCGGCTAACCGTGCTGTCCGCGGGCACACAGAACACAACCACATGCACATTTAATAAAAAAACGACTCAGTACAGAGGAGACGTTTTCACAGCAACACCACACTCGCGACGCAAGCACCGCAAAGTATCTGGCTCATCAACCACCACAACGTAAATGTGTAGTTGTTCTACATCAACAACAACAATGGCCATACGAATAAAATAACAAGATATGTAATCTGTGGAAGTTAGTATCACAGAACTAATTCTGAAGGGCCCCCCCCCCCCCGGCAATTGCCCCCCATGCAATTGCCCCCCCCCTGCAATTGCCCCCCCTGCAATTCCCCCCCCTGCAATTGCCCCCCCCCCCCCTGCAATTGCCCCCCCCTGCAATTGCCCCCCCCTGCAATTGCCCCCCCCTGCAATTGCCCCCCCTGAAATTGCCCCTTTATCCGCACGAGGTGATGTTGCACCTGTCCCGTGACGTCGGATCTGGCATTGACCGTCGTGCACTGCTACATCCATCAACTCGCCGAAGTGGAGAGGCCGACTGAATCGTGGGCGGGTGAAGCCCGGATTCGAGCCACGCCGGCTCAAGCCCCTCGAGCCACCCCGGCTCAAGCCCCTTGAGCCACCCCGGCTCAAGCCCCTTGAGCCACCCCGGCTCAAAGGGCTTGAGCCACCCCGGCTCAAGCCCCTTGAGCCACCCCGGCCCAAGCCCTTTGAGCCACCCCGGCTCAAGCCCCTTGAGCCACCCCGGCTCAAGCCCCTTGAGCCACCCCGGCTCAAGGGGCTTGAGCCACCCCGGCTCAAGCCCCTTGAGCCACCCCGGCCCAAGCCCCTTGAGCCACCCCGGCTCAAGCCCCTTGAGCCACCCCGGCTCAAGCCCCTTGAGCCACCCCGGCTCAAGCCCCTTGAGCCACCCCGGCTCAAGGGGCTTGAGCCACCCCGGCTCAAGCCCCTTGAGCCACCCCGGCCCAAGCCCCTTGAGCCACCCCGGCTCAAGCCCCTTGAGCCACCCCGGCTCAAGCCCCTTGAGCCACCCCGGCTCAAGCCCCTTGAGCCACCCCGGCTCAAGCCCCTTGAGCCACCCCGGCTCAAGCCCCTTGAGCCACCCCGGCTCAAGCCCCTTGAGCCACCCCGGCTCAAGGGGCTTGAGCCCCCCGGCTCAAGCCCCTTGAGCCACCCCGGCTCAAGCCCCTTGAGCCACCCCGGCCCAAGCCCCTTGAGCCACCCCGGCTCAAGCCCCTTGAGCCACCCCGGCTCAAGCCCCTTGAGCCACCCCGGCTCAAGCCCCTTGAGCCACCCCGGCTCAAGCCCCTTGAGCCACCCCGGCTCAAGCCCCTTGAGCCACCCCGGCTCAAAGGGCTTGAGCCACCCCGGCTCAAGCCCCTTGAGCCACCCCGGCCCAAGCCCTTTGAGCCACCCCGGCTCAAGCCCCTTGAGCCACCCCGGCTCAAGCCCCTTGAGCCACCCCGGCTCAAGGGGCTTGAGCCACCCCGGCTCAAGCCCCTTGAGCCACCCCGGCCCAAGCCCCTTGAGCCACCCCGGCTCAAGCCCCTTGAGCCACCCCGGCTCAAGCCCCTTGAGCCACCCCGGCTCAAGCCCCTTGAGCCACCCCGGCTCAAGGGGCTTGAGCCACCCCGGCTCAAGCCCCTTGAGCCACCCCGGCCCAAGCCCCTTGAGCCACCCCGGCTCAAGCCCCTTGAGCCACCCCGGCTCAAGCCCCTTGAGCCACCCCGGCTCAAGCCCCTTGAGCCACCCCGGCTCAAGCCCCTTGAGCCACCCCGGCTCAAGCCCCTTGAGCCACCCCGGCTCAAGCCCCTTGAGCCACCCCGGCTCAAGGGGCTTGAGCCCCCCGGCTCAAGCCCCTTGAGCCACCCCGGCTCAAGCCCCTTGAGCCACCCCGGCCCAAGCCCCTTGAGCCACCCCGGCTCAAGCCCCTTGAGCCACCCCGGCTCAAGCCCCTTGAGCCACCCCGGCTCAAGCCCCTTGAGCCACCCCGGCTCAAGCCCCTTGAGCCACCCCGGCTCAAGCCCCTTGAGCCACCCCGGCTCAAGCCCTTTGAGCCACCCCGGCTCAAGCCCCTTGAGCCACCCCGGCTCAAGCCCCTTGAGCCAGCCCGGCTCAAGCCCTTCGAGACACCCCGGTTCAAGGGGCTTGAGCCACCCCGGCTCAAGCCCCTCGAGCCACCCCGGCTCAAGCCCCTCGAGCCACCCCGGCTCAAGCCCCTCGAGCCACCCCGGCTCAAGCCCCTCGAGCCACCCCGGCTCAAGCCCCTTGAGCCACGCCGGCTTCCCGACTCCCAGACACCCGGAGCGACGTCCCTCACCTTGCACCTTGCCAAACACCTCGAAGTCCATGGACGACAGTGAGGCCGCGTGCGCCATGGGACCTGCTGCTTCTTGCTCCCGGTGAGGGCAGCGCCGAGACAGGGGGCAGCGCTGGGGTGAGGGCAGCGCTGGGGTGAGGGCAGCGCTGAGACGTTGGCAGCGCTGGGATGAGGGCTGTAATGGGGCTGATACAGCAGAGGTAAGAGCAGGGCAGCACGAAAATGTGGGTTGTGACCGAGTCCAGAGAATCAATTTAAGCGACGAAACCCATGAAGCTGACCAGGCGCTGCAAGCCCCGCGCCATTCAAAGTGGCACAAACGCCGCAACCCGGGGCAACAGCAACAACTGCAGCAGCAGCTGATTGTTTTTTTTTATTCCGGGGTCAGGGATCAACCAAGAGGAGGCGACAATTCCTGCTCCTCCTCCCATCACCATCACAACCACCACCACCATCATCATCGCCGCCATAGTGATAAAGGACCCCCCACCCCGCCATGACAAATTTCGTTCGGCGCAGCGGCGGCGGCCATCTTGGGTAGGGAAGGCGCCGGCGTTGTGAGTGGAATGGACTTTCTGCAGACTCTGGAGTACAGTATTTTTTTTTAAAGACACCGCCTTTAAAATAAAACATGTACAATATGCGAAGGCAATGCTCCTTCTTCACAGTACGTAAAAACATATTTTTGCATTAAAAAAACGTATTTGTAATATGACCGATTATATATTTTGTTACTTTCAAGGCAACAGCGATTTTTGACGAACGTGTTGCATTTAGTTGTTATTATTTGTCGTGTTTGCACCAAAATCACAGAGCAAAATTAAATTTGTTCAACTTTCCAGAGGTGCTCGGTTTGTGGTGTTGCTGAGTTGCTGAGGTCCGCTCTGCCCCCCCCCCTCTGCCCTGTACCAAGATGGCCGCGCGTGGCCGCACCTCCCGGGCCGAGGCCTTCGTCGGCGCCCCGCGCTCCGCCTTCGAACCCCGCCGCCCGGGGCCGCGAGAGACGGCGCCGGTGACTCCACGCGGGGCTCGGCGCCGCTGACTCCACGCGGGGCTCGGCGCCGCTGACTCTACGCGGGGCTCGGCGCCGCTGACTTCACGCGGGGCTCGGCGCCGCTTCGCGAAGGCCGCGAGAGAAACGGGGAGAGGAGCGGGGCCGGGGAGAGGAACGGGGCCGGGGGGTGGTGGTGGGGACGAGAGCCGGGAAGGGAGAGCGAGACGGGCGCTGTTAGCGTGGAGACGCTGCTCGGCCGCGCGGGGGAGGGACACTCTTTGACTTGCGCGGTGAGGGGGTGGTGAGGAGTCGGCGGCAGGACTGCTGCTGTCACCGGGGTTCCTTTGTCTGGGGTGGTCAGCGGAGCAAAGGACGTGGCGGTGGGAAGAGCGACGCGGCTCTGTTTGGGAAGCGGTTGCAGGCCAGTGGCTGGCCTCGTGTCGCGCCGCCGGAGTCGGCGGGGGTGGTGGAGGAAGCGGTTCGTGGGGCCTGGAGGCCCAGGGTGGTGGTGGTGGTGCCCGCCAGGGTGCTGACAGCAACAAGTGTGACTTGGGGAGCCGGTGTTGGGACGGGCATACTGCTCGTGCGGTGGTTACTTGTGGGTGGTGTCAGGAGGGCACGAGGTGTTAGGTCGCTGTCGGCCCGGCCCGGCGCCGGGTTTGGCTGCCACATGGCCCCGAAAGACTCCAAAGATATCCTGCAGATGGATCTGTACGGCCTATTGGGTATCAAGGAGAACGCGTCTCCTAAGGAGGTACGTCTTTTTGCCTTGTGTCGGGGGGAAGGTACTAAAGCGATATCCCCTCCCCCCCCACCATTAATGTTTGTATGTTGAACTTCTTTCGCACCGTACGTAACCGAGCGTGCTTATCGGAGGCTCGGGTGAAACGTCCCAGACTGCTGCCGCCGCAGATTCGTGGCAAAGCGGTATCATGTACTAATAACCCCTCACTCTTAATCCTACACCATAACCCCTAAACCCAAACCTTAGCCCATAACCCTAAACTGTAAGCATAACCCGAAACCCAAACGCTCAAACCATAACTATTAACCCTAAAGTATAATCGTAACCCCTAATTATATTCATCCTAAACCATAACCCCTAAACTTAAATCATAATCCCTAAGCTTTAACCCAACATCCTAAGCCAACCCATAAACCATATCCCATAAAAGCTAACCCCTAACCATAACCTCAACCTCTAAACTCCAACCCTGAACTCTGAACCATACCAATAACCCCTGAAGCCAAATCCCCCCAAACCCTAAACCCCCAAACCCTGAACCCCAACCCTAAACCCCCAAACCCTAAACCCCAACCCTAAACCCCCCAACCTTAAACCCCCAAACCCTAAACCCCCCAACCCTAAACCCCCAAACCCTAAACCCCAACTCTAAACCCCCAAACCCTAAACCCCAACCCTAAACCCCCCAACCTTAAACCCCCAAACCCTAAACCCCCCAACCCTAAACCCCCAAACCCTAAACCCCCAAACCCTAAACCCCCAAACTCTAAACCCCCAACCCTAAACCCCCCAACCCTAAACCCCCAAACCCAAACCCTAAATTCCCAAACCCTAAACCCCAACCCTAAACCCCCCAACCTTAAACCCCCAACCCTAAACCCCCAACCCTAAACCCCCAAACCCTAAACCCCTAAACCCCCTAACCCTAAACCCCCTAACCCTAAACCCCCAAACCCTAAACCCCCCAACCTAAACCCCCAAACCCTAAACCCCAACCCTAAACCCCCAACCCTAAACCCCCAAACCCTAAACCCCAAACCCTAAACCCCTAAACCCCCAAACCCTAAACCCCCAAACCCTAAACCCCCAAACCCCAACCCTAAACCCCCTAACCCTAAACCCCCTAACCCTAAACCCCCAAACCCTAAACCCCAACCCTAAACCCCAATCCTAAACCCCCAACCCTAAACCCCCCAACCCTAAACCCCCTAACCCTAAACCCCCTAACCCTAAACCCCAAACCCTAAACCCCCCAACCCTAAACCCCCAACCCTAAACCCCCAAACCCTAAACCCCCTAACCCTAAACCCCCAAACCCTAAACCCCCCAACCCTAAACCCCCAAACCCTAAACCCCCAAACCCTAAACCCCCAAACCCTAAACCCCCAAACCCTAAACCCCCCAACCCTAAACCCCCAAACCCTAAACCCCCGAAACCCTAAATCCCCGAAACCCTTAATCCCGACCTCTTGTGGACGCCTCTATTTGGACAGCATATACAATAGGATAGTGGAGAAAGCTCCACGCAGACACTTTTGTCCGTGTAAGCATGAGTCGTGTGTGTACGTGTCTGTGTCTCCCAGATCAAGAAGGCGTACAGGAGAAAGGCGCTTGAGTGTCACCCGGACAAAAACCCAGACAACCCCAGTGCTGGTAAGGACTGATAACCCTCCTCCATCAGGGGGCCTACCTTCCTCCATCAGGGGGCCTACCCGCCTCCATCAGGTGGCCTACCCTCCTCCATCAGGGGGCCTACCTTCCTCCATCAGGGGGCCCTACCCTCCTCCATCAGGGGGCCTATCCTCCTTCATTAGCGGGCATGCCCTCCATCAGGGGGCCTACCCTCCTCCATCAGGGGGCACACCCTCCTCCATCAGGGGGCCCACCCTCCTCCATCAGGGGGCCTACCCCCCTCCATCAGGGGCATACCCTCCTCCATTAGGGGGCCTACCCTCCTCCATCAGGGGGCCTACCTTCCTCCATCAGGGGGCCCTACTCTCCTCCATCAGGGGGCCTACCCTCCTCCATAAGGTGGTCTACCCTTCTCCATCAGGGTGCCTACCCTCCTCCATCAGGGGGCCACCCCTCCTCTGTCAGGTGTCCTACCCTCAATTTCTACCCTGAAACGATTCACCTACCTGATGGTTTTCTGTATTGTCGCGATCCGGAGGGCAACTCGATGTTTTTCCTGCCTCGTTTTCATCGTCTCTTATGTGATGTTTCAACATTTTTCCCCGCTAGTTTGCACGGTTTTGTCGAGCTCCGTAAATTACCTTAAATCTTGACTTTGCTTATACCATGACATTCATTGAAATCACCCTTATTTTAACCGATTCTTCCGCATGCAGGGATTAATAATCCACCGGGTCTGTCTCGGTCAGCGAACTGGAAAATACATCCGCACCCCGGCACACCACACCCAGTATGCCCCTCTCTCGCTATGGACTGTGGCTATGACTGCAGTGACCTACCAGCGACCCGCGATATATTCGTTGAGAAAGTTGAGCCCTGCATGCTCGTATCGCGAGCTTGGGAATCGATTGCAAATGGATGCGTTGTTGATGTGTCTAGGGGGTGTGATGACGGTGTGTGCCCTGTGTTGCTGTGCCCACAGTGGAGCTGTTTCACGAGCTGTCCCGGGCCCTCGAAGTGCTGACGGACGCTGCAGCCAGGGTGAGGTGCAAAGGAAACGGGGCGGACGATAGTGGACTCTTTAGTGTGTGCTGGGAAAGGCGGCCGGGCATGGTGCTGGCCACCCACTCCCTCGTGTACCGTGCCTGTCTTCATAAGTGCTCGTTAACAGCACTTGCCCCAACAGTCTGTTAAGGCTGCACGGGGGATCTTTGTCTTTGTTGTGTCTGCATTGGTAAATCTATTGCGTTTTGTGCGTGGTGTGTTTGCGTTATCTGTTAGGCGTGCATAGACGTGTCTTTTTTGTGCCGTTTGGTTGAGTGTTGTGTTGTATTAGAATTGCTCATCGGTTGTGTGCTGTGTTTTCATTATTAATGTGTTGAGTGTGTTAATTATTTGCTGTGTGTTCATTGACATATGTGTTGTGTTTGCATTGATTATTTGTTACGTGTGCATGGGCATGTGTGCTTTTTTTTGTGTCGACCATCAGTTGCGTGTTGTGTCATTGAGTATCCGTTGTGTATACATGGACTTGTGTGTGTAAGGCACGTGTTAATACTCCCAGTGTTGTGTATTGAACGTATGTGTACTGTGTGAAGTGAGCAAGGGTGATGCGTGTGTCGTGTGTAATGTGTGTTTATGTCTGTGATGGGCCTGTGCACGCCTTCGCAGGCAGCCTATGATAAAGTGCAAAGGGCGAAACGTCTCGCAGCCGAAAGGACCAAGAATCTCGATGAAAAACGAAAGAAGGTGAAACTGGGTAAGTGTTATCATATTATTTACCCTTTATTTTGCTTTGCTTAAAGCCACTCTCGCAGCTGCCTTGCCAATCAACGCACGTCACTCCAGCGACATCCGTCACGTGCAATATCAGCATTTGTATTACTATGCCTCTTCACCTAGGAAACTCTGACTGGGGGGGGGGGGTGACATTGTGAAGCATAATCCCAACTGAGTAATTTGCAGGTAGTTTTTCACCACTGGAATGTTTTGGCTCAATACCGGTGACAATGAATGGATTTTTTTTATTTTGCCGTGGGAAGAAACTGGAGAACCCAGAGGAAACGCATGCAGAACTGGGGGAGACATAGAATCTCCACTTAGAAAAGTGCCCGAGGCAGGAATCGAATCCAGGCCCTTCTTGCTGCGAGGCACAAGCGTTATTACTCCACCACTCTGTAGTCTTTTTCCTGAATTATATCCCGATCTCGTCATGTTTTTGGATGCCAAGCATGGATGAGTTTTGATTGTGCTTGGACGGGTGACTGCCATAAACGTGGGGCTGCGCCCTACGTTATGGGCAGTGGAGCAAAAATCCATTCTTGTACTGTACTTCTATGCGACAAAGTCTATGCGCCCTGGCTTCACCAACCAGTACGGATCAGTGTGGTGAAACATGGCCGGATAACACGACCGGCACGAGGCATTTCTCAGACTTCGAAGTGACGCTGTGCTTGCTGCGAGAGGTGCTGAATGTAAATGTCTTCTTCTCGTGATAACATGGCATGAACAACCAGAATTGCAATAAAACAAAAGATGCCAACCAACTATCCAAATGTCATTGTCTAAGTGCTGGGGTGCGTATATATTTTTGCACCTCCGGTTAGCACGGTTGGCTACGTACGGTGCATTCATAAGTGTGACTGGCATTCATAAGTGTGACTGGCAGCGGGAAACTGATGAACTCGGGTAAGACAAACCCCGGCGTTTGTCTTTCAGACCTGGAATCGAAAGAGAGCAATGCGTGGAGCAGCCGAGAGGAGCAGGAAGCGGCAGCGAAGCGGCTTCAGGAAGAGGTGCGGTCACCAAGTTACTCGCAATATCAATGTGGCAATCCCAATGTCACTCGAAATCCCAGTGACACCATCCGAGTGTCACAATCCCAGTGTCACAATCCCAGTGTCACTCGCAATCCCAGTGACACCATCCCAGTGTCACTCACAATCCCAGTGCGACTTACAATCCCCACGACATTTACAATCTCGGTGTCACTCACAATTCCTTTGCATCAATCCCACTGTCACAATCCCTGTGTTACAATCCCCATGTCATTCACAATCCCTGTGTTACAATCCCAGTGTTACACACAATCCCAGTCTCGTAATCCCGATGTCACTCAAAATCCCGGGGTCACTCAAAATCCCGGTTTCACAATCCCAAACTTGACCTATTCAGAAGTAGCTCTGTGAAATCCACTTCCGTGGGCCATTCTCAAACATGAAGGGTTGCACTGCTTTGTGAGAGTTCCGAATGGACAGTTTGTCTCTTGAGATGACACCGATAGCACAGTTGGATTCAAGTTGGGTGAGAAGTCTTAAAATAGATATGTGTACGGTTTATGCAAAAGCAGCAATTTAATAAACCTCTCGAATTGATGCTATCACTTGCAGATCGAGCGACTGAGAGAGGAGGGATCGCGCCAACTGGAGGAGGAGCAGAAGCTGATCCGAGAGCAAATTCGGCGACAGAAGGAGCAGAGCGGGCAAGGTAAACCGATCCCTGAGCCTGGTCACTCACGAACACAAACCACACTGAGAAATAAGAACGGATTTGACCTATTCTGGAAATTAAAGCGGAGTTGTTAAGATGTTTAAACACCGAATAGATACATTTTTCAAGGAATCAAGTAACGCATTAACCACACGTACTTGTGGTGAACATGCAAACAAACATGCTCTGATAATATATGCCTTGTCGTTGATACAGCTGCTCAACCCGAGCCGTAAATTCTCTGACACGTGCATTGTCTTTGTCCTGTTTGCCTTTTGGCGTTCTCTGGTCTGACACTGTTGAGACTAGGCCGTAAAGAAGGCCGTCTCTCTGGTGTAGCCCAATCAGTTTCTAAGACAATTATCAGAGCATGTTTGCTGTATTTTCACCACAAGTACGTGTGGTTAATGCAGACTCCATTCCTGACAAAAAGTATGTATTTGGTGTTTGAACATCTTAACACCTGTTTTATTGCCAGCAATGGTGGAACCTGTTCTTATTTTTCATACTTTGATACTGGCAAAAAAGGTCGCATGGTACAACCCACACTAGCCCTGGCTCAAACGCCAACTACACTGCCACACCGAGCACAGACTGCCAAGCCTAACCACTAAACTAATGTATGTGTGTGTAACTTCTTCTTTGGTTCTTTCGGCAAAGTCACGTAGAATGAGAATAAAATAATAAATTAATGAAATAAAATAACACAATAAAATTCTCACGGCGTGTAACTTCTTTCGCGCCGTACGTAGTCAACCGTGCTAATCGGAGCACTGACGGCCTTCTGATTGGACCACGTGTCTTTGTATGCGCGTGTGTATATGTATATGTGTGTAGGTCGTGGGGAGCGGGAGTGTCGTGGTTAGCGCGTTCTATAATCTGGCGACTCAAGTTTTATTCCCGCTCACGGCCAACATCGGTGACGATTATTTGAACCGGTCCTGGGCCTCCCCTAGGTCGACTCGGCCTCAAATGAGTACCTGGTGCGGTGTGTAAACATCAACACTAGGGAGACAAAGGCGGTCGGGCGTGGTGCCGGCCACCCACCCCTTGGTGTACCGTTCCGGCCTTCATAGGTGCTCGCTAACAGCACTTGCCCCAACAGTCTGTTTAGGTTATACGGGGGATCTTTGTCTTTGTGTGTAGGTCGCCTCAGCCTTAAATGAGTACCTGGTGCCGTGTGTAAAACATCAACACTGGGTAGACAAAGGCGGCTGCTTGGTGGTGCTAACCACACCGCCCCTTGTGCGCCGTGTTGGTCTTAATGGGTGCTCGCTAACAGCACTTGCCCCAACAGTCTGTTATAAGCTGTATGGGAATCTTTGTTCCTATCGACCATCTTCACGTGCGCTGCTTGTTTTCCAGCTCCTACAATCGACTTTGCACCATTCTGTGTGCCGTTTGTGCCTAACCAATGTGTTGTTATCACTTGTATTCTTTACAGGCCTCTCCACATCCACACATCAAGTTACACCCAAGCTGAAGGTCAGTTTCACGCTTGATTTTATGTCAGGCACGCAAACGTGTCATCTGATGCCAATTTTTTGGTACTCATTTAAGCCCGAGTTGACCTAGGGGAGACCCAGAACCAGTTTCTGATATCGCCCACCGCTGATGTTAACCGTGACCAGGAACCAAATGCAGGTCATCAGATTTGTAACGCAGTAATGCGCTATTTACTACATCTCCACTCCCGAGCTCTTCAGGCGCCAAGGTGGCGAGATGTTAACTACCTCGCCTGGTATACAGGAGGTCATGGGTTCAATCCCGACACGTACGCCTGTTAATTTGGAGTTTGCATGTTCTCCCCGTGGTTGCGTGGACTTTTGTCCGGGTTCTCCAGTTTTTTTCTCCTCTACATTATCAAACATGCATTGAGAATATTTGGCTGTCATACATTTCCACGTGATAGGCCGATTCATTGAAATATCACTTGTAGCTCAGTGGGCCTTTCCTGTTAAAATACAAAAAATAGTTTTACTTTAGTTTCTATAGTAGGCCGAGAGTAGGCCATCGTGTGCTGGCATCATGGCCCAAATTTGCCGTATTTGAAAAGTTACCTGTCCCTCGCCACCACTCACCACATCCTCACCCCTCCTCACCACCCTGGTGGTTCCTCCCACCACCGTCCCCATGCCCCCACCCCCCTCTCCCGCTGTCCTCTCACAATGATTAAACTCTTAACGACACCGACACAAGAAAATAAACTGTGTATGCTGTCGCTTGTGCTGCCGCTGCCTTCCAGGTGAAATGGAAGAGCAAGAAGGATGACGAATCGAACGGCGGATACTCGAAGCAACAGCTGATGGTCATCTTTCAGAAGGTGGGTGGTGGCTGGACCACTCGTGAAGCAGCGCACTGCCAGGCAGCTGGGGGGAGGGTGACGATTGTGAAGTCGTGGAGCTCAATTAAACTATACAACTAAACTGTTTTTAATTTTGCCAGGTAAGGCCCACCGAGCTGTATAACTCTTTTTAAGAAGCGACCTGGCCATCGCAAATGATAGCTCAACGAAATGGCTTATCACGTCGAAATTTATAGCAGCCAAATACTCTAGACACATGTTGATCGTAAATATGGATTGGAAAAACCAGAGGACCCAGAGAAAAATTAATGCGACCATGGAGAGAGACACCGCAAACTCCGTATATACAGCAGCAGCAGGTGTCAGGGTCGGGATCGAACCCACGACCTCCTGTATACCAGGCGAAGCAGTTAACATCTCACCACATAGAGAGAGAGACACGCAAACTCCAAATATACAGCAGCAGCAGGTGTCAGGGTTGGGATCGAACCCACGACCTCCTGTACACCAGGCGAAGCAGTTAACATCTCACCACATAGAGAGAGAGACACGCAAACTCCAAATATACAGCAGCAGCAGGTGTCAGGGTTGGGTTCGAACCCACGACCTCCTGTATACCAGGCGAAGCAGTTAACATCTCACCACATAGAGAGAGAGACACGCAAACTCCAAATATACAGCAGCAGGTGTCAGGGTCGGGATCGAACCCACGACCTCCTGTATACCAGGCGAAGCAGTTAACATCTCACCACATAGAGAGAGAGACACGCAAACTCCAAATATACAGCAGCAGGTGTCAGGGTTGGGATCGAACCCACGACCTCCTGTATACCAGGCGAAGCAGTTAACATCTCGCCACCGCGGCACCCTAATCATCTACGTGTGACCCATGTCGTGCAGCGGGTGGTGACACAGCCCAGCGGTGGCACCTTCGCCGCTCTTTGCAGATGTTCATCGATGTGATCCGGCAGGTCCCCCTGGTTAATACTGCGGTTTTACTGACCTTGAGATAGGCGCGCCGCCTGCTTCACAGTAGACATTAAAGATCCCCGTGATGTAATTCGAAACTAGTAGGCCGCTGTGTGCCGGCATAATGGTTCAATTTTGGCAAATTCGGCAATTTTCGTGCAAATAAACTCGGTTGGGATTCCACACAGCAGCAACATCACTCCCAGCTACAAAACTACAGCAGACCGCGCCTGTGACACACGGCGTCTCTCCGTGATGATCGCCTTGCGCTATAAGAATGGCGCTCATACCAAACGCGCTCCATTCTTTTTTAGGCCGTCTCATAACAGTGCTGACGCTCTTTATAATGATGGTGATGATGAGGATGGTGAAGATGTTTATTATTATTATTATGAAGACGATGACGATACTGACGATGATACTCGTGATTGCCGCGCAGTACGGTGAGGTTATGAACCTTCTCATATCCGCCAAGAAGAAAGGATCAGCAATCGTCGAGTTTGCTTCGCCCAAGAGCGCGGTAAGATGCTGTCTGCTGTGGCACGCTGTGTTACCCCGTGCGGTGCTGTGCTACCCTGTGCGGTGCTGTGCTACCCTGTGCGGTGCTGTGCTACCCTGTGCTGTGCTACCCTGTGCTGTGCTACCCTGTGCTGTGCTACCCCGTGCGGTGCTGTGCTACCCTGTGCGGTGCTGTGCTACCCCGTGCGGTGCTGTGCTACCCTGTGCTGTGCTACCCTGTGCGGTGCTGTGCTACCCCGTGCGGTGCTGTGCTACCCTGTGCTGTGCTACCCTGTGCGGTGCTGTGCTACCCCGTGCGGTGCTGTGCTACCCTGTGCTGTGCTACCCTGTGCGGTGCTGTGCTACCCTGTGCTGTGCTACCCTTTGCTGTGTTACCCCTTGCGGTGCTGTGCTACCCCGTGCGGTGCTGTGCTACCCTGTGCGGTGCTGTGCTACCCTGTGCGGTGCTGTGCTACCCTGTGCGGTGCTGTGCCGAGCGAAATGCCGCGCCGCGGTGCTGTTACTTGCAACGCGCGGTGAGATTGTTCTGTTTCGAGATGGCTGCCACGTGGTCGCCTGTGACCGAATCACACACTAATATCGTCAGATCTCGGAAGCTGAGCAATGGTTGAGCCTGGATACTGCCCGGATTGCTGCTGTGCGGCTGTGTGGTGGGCAGCAGAGGCGATAGTCATAGTTGCGCTGTACTTCAATACGTTTGTGTCTAGGCTGCCCACCTTTATCAACGCTCCCCGACCAGAGTGGTGAAGTATGGTGAAATAACCCCGACGACACACACGGTGTGGGGAAGCCCTCATCCAGCAGTGGACTAACTAAGGGCTGTACATGTACACGCTATGTGGTGGTGCTGTGTTGAGTGATACAGTGAGATAGCCACTGTGTGTCCATGCTGTATGGAGTAACTCTCTGCATGAGTTATCTACTGTGTGTCCATGCTGTATAGAATAACTCTCTCTATGAGTTATCTAGTATATGTCCATGCTGTATAGAATAACTCTCTCTATGAGTTATCTACTATGTGTTCATGTTGTACAGAGTACCTCTCCATAAGTTACATGCCATATGTCTATGCTGTACGGAGTAACTCTGTGAGTTAGCTGCTCTGTGGTCGTGCTGTAGCTGCATTGAGCTCGCCGCGGTGCCGTCGCACAGTGGCGGGAGGCTCGTCGCGCCGTGACACCGCCGTGCCCGTCGCCTTCGTCGTCCCACTAGGATTTGGCGGCACGGAACGAGCTGGGCCTTGCGCAGAACCCCATCTCGGTGTCGTGGCTGGAGGGCCGTCCTCCTGGGTTCTCCAGCTCCTCCCGCCCTCCCTCCGGCCCCACCAGTAGCACCGCCCAGGTAAACTGTGCTGCTGCCCTTCTTACTCCTTCCGTCATTCACGCTGCCCAGCCGGGTTTCGTTGGCGACAGGGTGGTTGACGCAGTGGCAGCCGCTTGTGCCTCGCAGCAAGATGGCGACTGGGTTCCATCCCCGGTTCGGGCGCCTTTCTGTGTGAAGCTTGTATGTTCTTCCTCCCTGTTTTGCAGAATGTGAGCGAGTGGAGTTTGTATGTTCTATACTCTTTGGTTCTATTCGGTAAAGTCACGTAGGTAAAAAATAAAACAACAAAAATCACGACGTTTCGACCACAACACAAGCGGCCTTCATCAGGTGAAGGGACCAGACTGTCTCGAGGACAGCGCCGAGACAGTCTGGTCCCTTCACCTGATGAAGGCCGCTTGTGTTGTGGTCGAAAAGTCGTGATTTTTTGTTGTTTTATTTTTTTTACCTACGTGACTTTACCGAATAGAACCAAAGAGTATGGATCCTTGCAGTCACGAAAGCTTCAAATCTAGAATTTGTATGTTCTCTCTCTCCCGCTTTTCTGCATTAGTTTCCTCCGGGTTCTCCGGTTTGCTCCCGTAACAAAAAAAACAAGAACCCATACAATGAAACTGGAATCGGCAAAAAACAACCTCATGCTGAACATGTTTACTGCAAATTACTCAATTGGGATTACACACAGCCAGTTTGACCCCGTGCCCCCATGTCTCCATGTGTTTGTGTTCCTTTGTCCCCATGTCCCTATGCCCCTTTGTTCCCGTGTCGCCATGTCCTCGTGTCTCCATGTGTTTGTGTTCCTGTGTCCCTTTGTCCCCCTTGTCTCCAGCAGCCCGTGGAGCGAGACTTTGAGTCGGTGGTGATGATGAGGATGCGTCAGGCGGCGGAGAGACAGCGACTCATAGACGAGATCCGTCGCGAAGAGGAGGAGGCGGGGGAGCTCTGAGGAATGGTGCGAGTGTCTTAAGAGGTGTGTGTGCATGTGTATGTGGTGAGCGGTAGTTTAGTGGTTAGCTAGTTTAGCGGTTAGCTAAACTACCACTGGCTAAACTACCAGTGGTGATTATCTGAACTGGTCCTGGGCCTCCCCTAGATCGACTCAGCCTCCCCTAGTGTGTCGTGCCGGCCTTGATAGGTGCTCGCTAACAGCACTTCCCCAACAGTCTGGAAAAGGCTATGGGGGGGGGGTGGTGGATCATTGTGTGTGTGTGTGTATGCGTGAGAATGATGGAGTGAATCTGTGCGTGAGGGTGTGTGTGTCAATGAGTTGGTGTAAATGTGAGGATAATGGAGCGAATCTGTGCGTGTTTTGTGTTGGCATCTGTGTAGTGTGTGTGTTTATATAAGGTTTTTGTGTGTGTATGTGGGGAGGGGGTCGTATAGTGGTTAGGGCAACTGTGCCACCTTTGTTACTCGAGTTCATTTTCCGGCCATAGCGAACATGAGTGGCAATTATCTGAACCTGCCTGAGGTTTACTCAGCCTCAAGTGAGTACCCGGTGTGGTCTGTAAACATCAACACCGGACAATAAAGGTAGCTAGGTCTGACTACACCACTTCTACCAGTGCCCCGCAAGCCTTAATAGGTGCTCGCTAACAGAACCTGCCCCAACAAGGCTATGCTGAGAATATTTGTTATGTGCGTGGGTATACATGTGTTGGGTGTGTAGTGTAGCGGTTAGCGCGCTGCGCTACGAACCTGGTGACCCGGGTTTGATTCCCGCTCACGGCCAACATCAGTGACGAGTATCTGAACCGGTCCTGGGCCTTCCCTAGGTCGACTCAGCCTCAAATGAGTACCTGATGCAATGTGTAAACATCGCCACTAGGGAGACAAAGGCGCCGAGCGTGGTGTTGGCCACCCACCCCCTCGTGTGCCGTGCAGGCCTTTATAGGTGCTCGCTAACAACACTTGTCCCTACTGTCTGCTAAGGTTTACAGGGGATCTTTGTTTTTATCTTTGTTTTGCGCACAGCTACGCATGTGTGTTGGGATGTGTGTGTGCATTTCTACACTCAAGACAACATTGCAAGAATTTTTTAAACGTTTATTTTTTAGTTAATAGACTGAGCGAACCATTTTTGTTCATCTGCCCTGACAATTCACAATAAACTTCAACAGCAGCAGCGTCGTACGATCCCATGTCTTGATGGGGTTTGGGTAACAGTGCAGCTGGCAAGCACTGGCCCGGAAGGATGGCGTTCCTAAAATTGTATTTTCTTTTGTGTGGCAACACCAACGTTGGGGTTTGTTTTATTTTACGCCGTCAAACAGTAGAAGTGTCAGCAGCGCGACTCATAGCCTCCTCTCTCCACCAAAGACCAACGTCGTCACTGCTGTGCGTCGACTCTCCAGTGGCGGCCCCCCCCATGTCTCTCTTGGCTCCCGTCACCCTGCACGACAACTCGCGGTAGAACTCGCCACGACAGCACGACTCGCGACGACCTCCTCTCGACAGCAAGGACCAGCGCCGCCGCTGCCGGGTGTCCTCTCTCTGTGACAGCCCCCTCTGGGACGTGCGGCGGCCGCCAGCGGGATTCCCTCTGCACCGACTTCTAAGAGACACTTATAGCCCCCCCCCCTTCACCTCCTTCGCCCCGGCTTTTGAGTGACACTGAGCTTGACTCCGCACCTCGGGAGTTACGGTCACTCGCATCATTTTCACGTTACGAATTGCATCATTGTTACCATTTCTGTCCAGTTGACTCGAGAGCCGGGACACGTTGAGGCCTGTATTCACACTGCTGGCCCTGGCCATGCTCAGGATTTCCAAGAGGCCATCTTGAGCCAAGCCACAGCTGAGCTGTTCACTTTTGCGTCTTTGGAAGCAACTGAACGGCTCAAACCCAAGCTGGACCAAGCCAGAGCCGAGCTGTGACGAAGGATCTGTGGCCCCCTGCGTGCACTGCTGCCAACCTGGGCTTGAATCTGGGTTTCGGCTGCCTGTGACGAAGCCTGGTTTTCTCGTGTAGCAAGTTGATGGGTCTTCGTACCGCACTGCGCGGTTGTCCGCTCGCTCTGGACGAGAATGACTCGAGAAGGGCGATGAGAAACCACAGACAAGCGGGAATGGCAGCTGCCAGGTGCCACATCCCCCACTCCCCCAAGCTCTGCCATCCTCTATATTTTAAGCTGTTATTGGCCAATTAATGAGTATTTCCACGTGGGAGTATACCGGAACACCTGGAAAAAAAACCCACGCGTGCAAGGGGGCAAAACTATCCCATGCAGCAGAAGGGACAGATGGAGATTAGTCCACGTTTGCTGTACCGTTTCCTGGAAAGCCAGGGTATTGCACCTCGATGCCAATGGAATTTCACAGCATTTGTGCGATCCACAAACATGTGTGAGCTGCCTTGGATGTGAAGAGACATGTTTATCTATGGGAAGGAGGCCTATATATGTGCTAACTTCACATGATGACGCTCCACGATTGTCTTAATGTTAATTGCATTGTATATTTTTGTGAACAGAGCCTCACCGCCATCTGGCTTCAGGTGTTCCCCTTGTGACGCAGTAGAAATGCTCTTCAGAGGGCCACTCTCATGGCCCCATCGTCGCCTACATCTGACTTGAGGCCTTCCCCTTTGGTCGTCCGTCTCGAGAGCCCGCCTTCATCCTGCACGCGCGTCCCGATTGAACCTACGTCGCCGGATGGCAGTACCACGCCGGTGGGTTCGTGAACCCGGTGGGCTCCCCTCGCGCTCATCTGTGGGTTTTCTCTGGTCCAATGGCAAAACTAAATACGGCAAAAGGTGAAGCATCGTCTTGAGAAGGAGCCTTGTGACTTTCTGAGCCTTGTCGTGGATTAACGGAGAGTTATTTATGATTCATGACGACTTCGGAGAACCACGGTTTAATGATGGCTTATTTTATTTGGATTGAACCCATTTTATCGGTCGCGGCAGAGGACGTGCGTACATGCAGGAAGGATTGGTAGATCTGGAGATCGCGCCCGCTGGGTTGGCTTCGTTTCCGAAAATGATGGCTTTTCAAGTCAGAGCACACGCGTTTGTCACTCCGTGACCTTTACAGCGAGTAAAACCTCTTCAGGTGGAGTGGAATTCCTTCTGAGAGACTGACACAGACACACACACAAGACAAAGCCCGCCACGGTCACCCCCTGTATAGCCACAGACTAATGGGGCAAGTGTTGTTCGCGAGCAGCACCTGTAAAGAAAGTGGGCTGCTGGTGGTGTGACTCGCACTATGCCCAGCCACCTTTGTCACCCCTCCAGTTTACATGTTTACACACCGTACCCAGGTCAACCCTGGGCAGGACCAGCGCCGGTTCAGATGTTCGCCACTGTTATTGGCCGTGGCTGCGGGTATGGACCTCGGGTCGTCAAGCTCGTAGCGCGGTGCGCTAAGCATTGCGCCACCGCTCCCGAATTTGTTTATGTATACACACAGCCTAACAATGCAGAATAACGTCATAAATCACGTGTTGTATCACTTGCACATGCACACGACACGTACGCAATCACGAACAGATTAACTGCATCGTTACTCATGCACGCACGGGACATGTCTCAGATTTTATGATAACGCAGTCGTTATTCTTTGGCAGAAGGGTGCTGGCGCAGTGGCAATGCTCGCGCCTCGCAGTCAGAAGCACATGGGTTCGATTCCAGGGCTCGGACTCCTCTCTATGTTGAGTTTGTATGTTCTCCCCTGTTCTGCCATGGGTGTTTTTCCTCTGAGATCTCCCAGTTCCCTTTCACAGCAAAAAAAACCATAAAAACAATGTAAAAAAAAAAACATTGAACAATGTAAAAAACCCCATAAGAACAATGTAAAAAACCATAATAACAATGTAAAAAACCCCATAAGAACAATGTAAGCATCATATTCTTAGCTCTTTCGGTAAAGTCACGTTGAAGAGAAACAATAAAATAATAAAATATATATAAAACAAGAAAAATTCTCACGACGTTTCGACCATAACACAAACGGTCATCATCAGATGTGAAAAACCAACGGCAAGAAACATTTGAAAGACGTGGCGGTTTGCATTTAAGATGTGATTCCGGACATACAGTACCCTGGTGTCTACAAACTAAGTTGCCTCTGTGGTAGTAGTTACATTGGAGAAACCAAACGCCATGTCTCGGACCGCATTTGTGAACACAAAGCAGACCTTAAACACGGTAGGACCAACACCTCGGTCGTGGCAGATCATTGTTATAATTCAGTCGGCTCACATGACATTGACTTCTCCAGGACAGAGGTTCTTTGTAAGCCATCTGGCTACCATGAGAGATTCGTTCATGAGGCTATCCACATATACAAGTACAGAGACAATTTCAACCGAGAAGATGGATTCTGGCTTAGCAATCATTGGAAGGATTTGATAAACCATTTCAGGTCTTAATTGATTGTTCACGCTTACGGTGGCTTTCAGACAGCATACATTAATTTTTTGTCTCCCCCCTCCTCTTTTCAGAACGTAGATGGACTCGTCCTTCTAAATAAACTGCCAAATCGCTGCCTGTGGCGCTGTGTTTTTTATAAATGAATAAATACACCGTTAATAAATAAATAAATACAAACCGACACTTCTTTCAAATGTTCTTGCCGTTGGTTTTTCACACCTGATGACGACCGTTTGTGTAATGGTCGAAACGTCGTGAGAATTTTTATTGTTTTATATATATTTTATAATTTTATTGTTTTTCTTCAACGTGACTTTACCGAAAGAGCTAAGAATATGAATTACTGCAGTCACGAAAGCTTTAAATCAAAATGTAAACATCCCCACAAAACAATGTAAAAAAACTCAAAAGAACAATGTAAAATAACCCCATAAAATGTAAAAAAATCCCATAAGAACAATGTAAAGAAAAATCGTGAGAACAATGTAAAAAAATACATAAAAACAATGTAAATACCATACGAACAATGTATAGTGACTGGTAGCATCACTACTGTGTCCACAAACGCACACGTGTGACGTCATTATGCGGTGGAGCGTCACTTTCACGCGGGTCTACACACACATGACGTCATCCCGCCTGGAGGCAGGAATGACGTCGGGGCCGGTTCGGGGATCTGGAGGCCGTGGGTGAG